TCTTTCCCTCTATCTGCCCGTATACACATTAGCCTCTGTTTCCCCACTAGGCTCGAGCCGTATTTTTACAGCGCGACGACGCGCTTTCTTATCCTTTAATTTTTTGTTTACTTTGCCAGTGGGTGTCCCTTCCCTTGTAAAGCAAAACCCATGCTTTGCCTTTTTTTTTTTTTTTTATATTTTTTCCTTAATATAATTATTCTTTTTTTTTTCTCTTTTTTGCTTTGATTTTTGTTTCGGTTTTTAATGAATAACCAGCCTAAAGTCTTTAATGATTATTTAATGGAAAAGCGACGTAGTGATGTAAGAAAAGAAACGCTGGACTCTCTAGCCTCAATTCGATTTTCGCTTCGCGAAATAATCATACGAAATATTATGAAATTATATATTTTACGACTGTATTTCTAAATTTACAACAATTACTGTACATATTTCTAAATTTTCAACAAAACCTAACATTTATTATTTACTATAAAAACTTTTCAATTTATTCCAAGTTTGTTTGATAAGTGAAGCATATAATTATCTATTGCGCCATACTTTTCTCCTTTAATTAACGATAAAATTTTATAATTTCATACATCAGTGCAGAATGAACTTATTTTGTAATTTTCAAAACTTAATGTCGATAACGAGACTCGATCGATTGTATATTCGGCACTGCATCTCCTCTTTAGTCGTTAATTTATTTACTATATAAGTTTTTCTTAAATCTTTCTAAAGGAATATTAATTCTGTAATTCAATTTAAAATTTACAATTTTTACATAAAAGCAAAGAAATTTAATTAGATTCATGGCTCATTAATAAACTATCTGATCTGAAATGTGAAAATCACTTAAATAGACAATACAAATCGAAAGTAAGATAAGAGACTTATTGCTAAGATCGTTTATTCATCAGCCGATCGATCGCTACACCCACCTTTTTCTATCATTCATACTTTCTTTTTCTCCTCGTTACTGCCTCTCCATTTTCTTTAATTTTTTGTTTTATTTCACTCATTTTTGCAAACAAGACTTTATAAGCTCAAATTTTTTCTTCTTTCCTTTTATATTTGCCAAGTCGAGTAAATATTTGTTAGAGGGTTTAAGAGTTAACAGCGCACTGAAGTGACAATTCTAATAATTCCCATCCTCCATTACGACATGTATAGTATATTTTTTCTTTTCTCCAATCTACCATTTATCCTCCCTAAGCTTTTTATTGCATTTTTATATCTTTATTGTACTGTCATTTTCATGATGTGACAATCCGTATTTCGAACAATTTAAGACTTGAATTTATAGTCGCGTCCGGCCCAAGATTTTTATAATGACGCAACTGCTCTACTTAAGCTTATCATTTATTTTATAGTGTCAAATAATTTTCAATTTAGTTATTAGAATTCGTGAAAATTATAGTATACATTGAATTTCGTTTTCAATGAAATTCCGCAATAATCTCCCCAATTTGATTTTTGACAAATTCTCAAATATTGTATAATTTTAGTTTTGTTTTCTGTTCTTTTACCAAATTGATTAATAACTATTTATGAAAAAATCCATTTACTTTTATAGTTATAGTTTCATAAAAATCAATCGGTTATATAAAGTTTTAAAAATTAGTCTTCTATATAATTGTTTTCATAACTATAAACACTGATATTAATATGTAAAAGTAAGTGCTAAATTTACTATCAGGCGTTTTATAATCGTATAAATCATTTTTAAATTATGAAAGCACAATTAAAGTATACACATTTATTTATGTACGATTATGTATGTTAGAATTGTGTTTGTCGTATGGAATATTTATAAATAATATATGCGTAAATGCAATTACAGCGTTAGAATAATAATTTTTAAAAAGAATGTATTATAAGTACATTCCATGTAAAGATGTTATATATAAATATAATATCGGTACAAACATTTTCATAGAAATATGAATTTTCATAACATATTACTTACGATTGTTTAACATACATTTAATTTTTATCAAAATTTCATTCACTTGCTTGGAATTGTTTTATTTAATGAGTATATTGAAGATGTAGGACTTGTGTCATTTACATTGTTTTTTGTATATTCATAATATACACGATGATAAATTTTATTTTACTAAACATCATAATTAATACATCATTAATTCATAAACACGTGTTCACTTAATTAAATAAAATTGTATAATTTAAAAATTGCTATATAATAGATTAATAATGAAGTGCTTAAGTCCTACTTTAAGTAACTTAAAGTATTAAGTTAATAGATAGGCTGAAATGTAGCGTAAGGTAGAAAAAGTATTTGCTTATTTACTTTTAAACAAATTGATTATTGCACTATGAAGATTGTAGTATTCAATTTATTATTAACTAAGGCACATCCGAAGGTCGAAATATTTATTATCGGATTCATGTGTTTGAATGCCATTTTCTATTGTTATCGTTGAACGCCGTAGTTATAAGCTTAAAAAATTGACATTATTTTGTAATTTTTAATTAAAAAATAAGATTTAATCATTTCTATTTGCATAAATAGATTTTGAATGAAGATTTAAATATATCACTCTTTTTTCACCATTGTTATAAAAAATCTCATAATTAATTTTGTAAGCATTTAATAAAGTTTAATATATTTAATATATTGAGTATACAGGATTCAGCATAGAATATTTTATGACGTAGAACATATTTTATGATTTTTTAAATATATAAATGTAACGATTCTCTGTCATAAATACAAATTACAATGAAATTCAAATTATTTTGTGCACAAGAATAGATGTTAAACATTGCAAGACAATGTTTCGGCTCAATGGAATAATCGTTGTATATTTATTAGCTGCCAGCGCGTATCCAATATTTAGCAAATAATAATAACAATAATATGAGACTGAAACATTAAATTATTTTTAAAATATTAAGTTTCGTAATCACTACGTGAAGTAAAAAAAGAAAAAAAAAAGAATAAAACTTTTAATAGTTAAAATTGTAGGAAGTTGTGTTATTTTATTTATTAATAATTATGTTCGTTTATACAATTCCCGATTAAAGAGGAAAGGACTCGGAAAAGGTCGAAGTTTGATTTACTTGTTTGATTTCAAAAGTTCGAGAGAAACGAAAAGTTGGCTTCATCAAGCCAAGAGACGAAAACAAAAAAAATTATTACGAGGAGTGCCAAATGTTATAGAGCACTTTGTACCTTCACACGTTGTATTGCGACTGTAGAGTCGGCAACGAGGCGACGTGACTTGCTTATCGCGAAAGAAATTGGTTCAAGGACAGTGGGTGCAGTGAGTGCATTTCGTTTGAAGAAGACTTCAGGTACATCGGTTGTTCTTTCTTTATTTGGATGTCGTATAACAATGTCGGTGCAACAGCTTTTGTATTGGGTGTCGGCTCTTATTATTTTCTAGTAATAATGGGGCGAACCGCCCGTTGCCTGCGAGCCCGACAATCTGTTTGGAGGATAAAATGTCGTTTTAATATCTCATTTTGTTATCGGGCGTATAATTAAAATAAAATTAAACGTTGCATATAATTGTAAAATTTTAAAATGTTTTTATAATTATTTGGTATATATGTATATGAAAAATTAATCATAAATATATAAATTTGACAAATAACATTTATAACAAGTGTCATAAGCACTTTCAATTCTTTCATATATATATATATATATATATATATACATGGAACATGGGTTCTATATAGAAATAATACTTGACAATATGAATAAATATTGATATAAAATAAATAGTGATAATTCATATTGTTTGAGTGAATAGGAATTATTTTCATTGTTTGAAGTTTCTCATCAAATAATTGTTTATTAAATAACTATACTAATGTTTAAAAATAATAATATGGGTACATTATTTATAAACGAAGGATAATATATTATTTACCAAAATGTACAATTTGATTTTTAATCTGAAATATGGCGTCTGGCTTATAATTGCAAAAATTCATAGTGAAAATAATTTTCAAGCATTAATTTAATAAATTCGTAGCTTATCATTATTATTATTGCCCGTACCTTTCCATTATATAATTTTAATGCAACAAGAGTTTGTACAACTTTTCATTAGAAAAAAAAAAATTCCCAGTCATATATGCATTAATGCAAAAATCGTTGGAAAGTCGTCGGCAGCCATCGGCTAAATTGCTTATTACTATTGCATATCACCTTATTTGCAAATTATGACATCTTCGACGTGCTTTTATCTTGTTCGAATTTATACCTTACGTTTCAGTTGAGCAAGTTGCTAATGCATTTTTCGACACGACCGTAGAATCCAATTCTTAATCCACGGAGATAAATTCTAATTTAGATGATTCGCGATTTATTCGAAATCAGAGAATTTTCCATTACATCGACAATTGAAATAGATGTATATGTAGGAGGCCGCGACTAATCCTATTTGCCATTGAAGTTTGAATTGCCACTCAGTGAGACCTGAAAATTGTACTGCTTGTCTGGTAAACGTTAAGGGGCTTCAGTGAAACGAGTCACTCGGATGTGCGCCGACGTGGGAAGAAGGATTTCATGAAGCAAAGCTATGAATCTTAGGGCACTCCTGACCGATTTCGTTTTCATTAGATCCGGCTTTTAAAAGTTGGTACGACGTTTACTGGCTGATAGGTAATATATACTATATGACAAGAGTCACAATTTTCGAATCGGAGATTAAACATTAACGAAAAATTTTCTATTAAATCACTTTACACGTTAATGACAAGACCATTTTTTTTTTCTTTTTTTCAAAAGTTTTCAAGTACATTGATCAAATCTTTGAGATAAAACGTTACTAGAGATCAAATATTATTGTAAAGGAATATCAAGTTTATTGAAATTCAAAAAATAGAAAATTACTAATACAATAAATAAATACTTAAAAATCTTTTAATTCAATCATTTTTTATGATACTTAGGGGAGTAGCCGTCACTTATCGGATTACATTTGATTAATTGAATAGTGGCTTAGATATGCAGAAAATGCACGAAAATTAAACGTTTGTTCCTCACAGTATTTCAACATTAAATATGGACAAATAGAGAATCACACGAAATAACACTTGTTCCAAATACTGAACAATCTGAAATTTTAAAATAAACTAATTAGAAAGCAATGTGAATTTAGATTAATAAATAAAATGGCCAAGTCTATTGAATTAATTAAATAGATTAGGAATTGAAGAAAGTGGAGAAAGAGGGAAATAGTAATGATTTCATCGTTGTTATAGGATGACCTCACGGTTTGTTGACTGAAAACTCTTAACTATATCCATTTACGCATAACTCAACGAAGTATATAAAAGAAAGTGGGAATTCAGAAAGACAGATAGAGATAGAGTGAGGGGGCGGGGGGAGATAGAGAGAGAGGGGGGGGGAGAGACTGTAGGTACAGCCCGCAGCTGCAACTCGTGCATCAATTGTCTCACTTGTTCTTCTCACTCGACAGAGATAGGAAGGACGAGCGAGAGAGCGGTGTTTGGGGCGGAGGGCAGGAGAAAGAGAGCAAGAGAAAAGGACGGACAAAGAGCATGGACGAGATATATCTCCGATTTTCCTATAAATCTGGATCGTTGGGTGAAGTTGTGAAGCCAAATTGATTACATCGAGCGTACAAAGCACTGTTCCACTTCACGGTAGAAACGCCCCGGAATTCTCCTTCAGGGCTAGCGGAAGTTTTTGGGGAGGATCGGTCCACCGTTTGATATGAATTCCACGAGTGCTAATTAATAACGCAATACCAGCCGTGAATAAGAGAAGCAAGAGTCAAATTTTAGAGAGAACGATCATTTAACATCGAGAGAAACAATCTTATTTTATGTAGAATATTTATTAACTTATGAATTAATGGACTTTGGAGTGACCAAATAGAAATGAAGATCAATTTACTTGGGAATACATGCTTGGTTTAATTAACTGTAAAATATTTTCTATGACTTTAGTTTTTGATATTATTCAACATTAATTAGACTTTATTATATTACTAATTACTGAAAATGTATTGGATATGCGTTAGTAGTTTAAACTTCCTATAGTCGCACACCTTCCCGTGCGCAATAAATAAATAAATATATATATATATATATATTTATTTATTTATTTATTTATTTATTTATTTATTTATTTACAGTAGATAAATCTGTGTATGTGCGATTATTTATCGATAATGTTTTTTTAATGTATGATTACGTTAACAAGCGGATAGATTTCGTTGTTAACTTAAAAATGTTGAATTTATTTAAAAAGTATTGTTACTTATAAGCCATATTCAATCAATTTAATAATTATTCATAAAAATCGATTCGTGGTATAATTAACATATCAATTTCAATATTGTAATTTAATGGATCAGTGATTAATGGAATTGTTTAATAATTAATCTTCGAATAAATTGACTAAATGAAATTTTATAAAATGCATAAACAGTCGTTACATACTAACTTATATTGATAGTTAATAGTTTCGTAAGGATCGTCCATCATAAATGCAGAGTCATAATTGACAATAAATGTAGGCTCAATATATGTACATGCATTCTTAAACACATAACATTTACGCATACATACATGTCCATAGTAAAGTTGACAATGTACTCAACGTGTACTGACCAACGACATTCCTGACTTATCTTGTTGCAGGAGGACAAGGACCTGGTGCACGAGTTTGTACAAAACGATGGATTGGCGTGTCTCATCAAGGTCGGTAACGAGGCCGACCAAAATTACCAAAATTACATACTTCGCGGTAAGTGTGAGTGCACATACTTGTAAATCCAATACGGGATGCGAGAGGGCGCGCGCGCGCGCGCCCGCATTTACCAACGTTATTATATGATAATGAGTATAGGAATATGCCTGCACATATACGAGTGAGTAAGTATGCTTTTGGACCCCTTCCTATAAAGTCTTTAGATAGGCGATTTATAGATAGGATGGAGGTATCCGTAGAGTCGTTGGAGTACCGCCTCCCGCTCGAGAATAAGCTCGATCTTCTCATAACCGCCTCTTCCTATTATTAACGCTTGGCCTTCTTTTATTTTCATTTATTTTGCAGCTCTTTTTATTCGTAGGTCCCAGACCTTTTGGTAATTTTTGTAATGTTGTTTTCTTATAATCTTCCTCGGCTCGGCAGGTATAATATAAGAAAGTTTTTCAAACGTGCCAACAACCTGATGATTAATTTGATATTAAGAGATGAAGCTATAATACAATATTAATTTTGCGTTTCATTTATCTGAATTATGATACCTAAATCAGGTCTATCATATATTGCCCCGAACTTTTGTATTTAATCCTTTCTTCCTATAAAATACGTTTTATGTATAGCATTAGACGAAACGTATATTTACTGTAATAATGCATTCTGTATATTTTCCTAACTATGTAAGAGAAAGATCTTGACGAAAGTTCTCGGCAATAGCAATGAAATACCAACGGCTACTGTCGGCTATTCCATATGACTTCGTAATCATTTATAATAATCACTGATGAACGTTAATGCTAGTCCACGGTACTGTTACGTAAGCGTGCATAAATAATGAGTATCTAATGATTTTGTCTCTTTCACTCGCGCTATTATATAGGATTTAAGAGAATAATTCCAGTCGTTTCGGTTAACACGTTATTATCGCTCTTTTACATTTAAGAGTAATTTTTACTTTCTTACGCGATCCATTGATTAATTAGCCATACTAATAATTATAATAATGAGACATTTGAGAGAAAGAAAGTGAAGCTGCAATAAAAAGATGTTGTTTATTATTAGTCGTCAATAGAAGCACGAAAAAGACTTCCATAGTCTGGTAGCTATTGTATGTGATAAAAAGTAGGAACGTCTTTGCGCAATTAATTCGTAAACGGCATATGCGAAATGTACTTGGTGATGAGTAGCGTCCTGTCGGTGGAGTCATATCGGGAGCGAAAATTCCCAGAAGGCCACGTGGTAACCGAAGTGATTGTGGAGAACGGGAATTGGGGGGAAGGAGCGCGACGTAACTCGTTCGTCCGACCCGATTTTGCCGATCGTTTGCATGCTAAGTGTAATTGCACGACTCGGCCCGCGCGTGCGTGCGTGCGTGCGTGCGTGCGTGCGTGCGTGTGCGTGTGTGTGTGCGCGCGCGCGCGTGTACGTGTGTGTGGCTGCGTGCATGTAAACGAGGATGAGTCGGTATTACTTTGGAACGACGCAAAATTGGCGGGTAGGAGCGCGAGAATTTCCGCGTGATAAGGATGCGCTGCTCTTTGGCAGCGAAGGAGCGTCAAGGACGAGGGTGAGGCGCCGCCGTTACGCGCCGAGATTTTACGGCCGAGGAAGAGTTTGTTTTGCTCTCGTCGAGCTGAAATATACTTTTGCTACGTTATCTCCTAAATTTCGCGCGAAGTTATTGCTGGTAATTATATGTTAGTGAAATTTAGCAGAGATGCAACGAACAGTAATAGTCTATTAATTTCGGCTCACCGGCGTTAAACTAATTTTAACAGTGTCAATATCGGTATCGAGACGTTATTTATTCGCTATGCTCATACGAAATGATATTGATCAATGTAGTTGAGATAAAACGTAGTCGATAAGGCTGCAACCAATGTTTATCAAATTGCTACTCGTTTATCGCAACATTATCGGGATAAATTATGAGTTTTTCTTACCCGATCCGCTAGGGAAAGCCATTAAAAAGGAATTACAGGCCGTGCTGTAGGATAATCCCAATATTTCTCAATACTACACTGTATGCGAATAAATAATAGCAATGATGAGCGATAAAAAGTCGAGGTCGAAAGATGTCTTTCGTTATCTATTATTTTATGGATTAAACACTCGGCACATTGCAGACAATGGGAGAAGAAAATAATGGACGAGATAATGAGACGTTGAAATTGCCATGGTAAACCAAGGGCGTCATCTCGCGAGGCGCGCGAGCGAGTTGATTTCTTACAATGCTCGCACCAATCGCAATAATCATCGAGTGCCGGGTCATAGATCTAGAAAAAGCCTCGTTCGCAGAATGTTTTTTTTCTTCCTCGATGGGACGAGGACGCGCCGACAAAGTCGTCGGACCTAACGAGCTACAAGTGCGGCGACAATAAGCGGCGTCGCGGGTACGGCCGAGGTGCTCGTGGGCGACGGTGACGAGCGTTTGACGGAAGTCGCGTCCCCTTGGAAGCAGACGCCGCGTCGCCGGACCTCGTTAGCGGCCGGATATCTCCCGTAATCTTATCGATAATCATGCGCGGACGCGCGCTAATGCCCCGCCTCGTTATCTCGCTGCGGTTGTAACTAATGAGGGCGTAACTCGAGCGTCCGTGTCAACGTCGCGCCTATCTATTTTGCAAAAATATATATATTGTCGTCGCGTCAAGTCGAGCCCGAGCGAATCCCGATACTTGACAATTGATGGCGCGAGTGGTCGCCGGTTACTTGGGCTCTCTTCAAGATTTCATGCTCCATTAACCTCGAGGCACTTTCGCGGATCCAAGTTTTGTCGAATTTTACTTGTGCGGGTCGATTGGAAGCTTCATAATGTTCCACAGGAGGAACATATTGACTCGGGATAAATTGAAATTCGTTCATCGGTCCGATAATCTTACCTTCCCTGCTCTTTATCTTCGTAATTAAATTAATATTAGCGATGGAAAGAATTCGCTAAGGATGAGTAGACGCGCGAGAATAGAGGGAAGAATGATGAACAGTCATATGTTATATCAATGTATTGCACTTGATGAAAAAATCGCTTGACAGCCGTGGAATTGTTTAATAGTTGGGCAAAGATTTATAAATTATTCGCATTTTTTAGTCGACGCTCGCGTTACTCGTCCTCGCCTCAAGCCATCTATCACCTATGGCGCGCGAACGCCAATAGGTTAACGTATTCACCTTCCCTTCCTACTTTTCTCTTTTACGTGCGGGTGACCCTTCCTGTCATTCTCTTTGACTTCCATTAGTCCGGCATCGCGACCAAATATAAACGAGGGAGAGGTGCCACTACGCACCGAGCCATAAACGTCGCTTAAGACGTGTGCTGCCCCCCCCCCCCGCCCCAGCCCATCGCCGCAAATCGTCCTAGCAGGTTTCATCTATGTAAAACGCTGGAAGCCGCGAGCAAGGATGAGACTCGGCCGTTATCATTACCCGACTCCTAAATTACGCTACGTTAAATCAAATTAGTATCGATGTCCCTCACAGCCGCGCGTGCTTTTCAATTGTGTCGCGGCTGCTTTAGCGCCCTTTTGCTGTAAAGATAAAGGGCTTAATTAATGCGCTAACGTGCTTCGCTGGCTCTGGCCTACCACATCACAATCTCCTTGTATTATGATTAACGTAGATTTAGAGAGAAAAATGAATATAAACATTGGAAGATGACTGTCAATTATTCGTGCGGACATTGAACACATTGAATAGGTGTGTTTTTGTATTGGCTGGCACCTCAGCTTTTCACGTATTTTTTCTTATTAAAGGGATACGATTATTTGAAAGAATCATAAAAAACATCGAAGGAATGTTTTTATTGTCAAGAGCTTGGTTGAAAGAAAGGCAACTGTAATTATTGAAATGAGCTTAATATGTAAAGATAGATAGACGGATTAATGCATATAGAGTAGTCTACATGATTAAAACATCGAGTAAATGTTATTTTTAAAAAATATATAAATTTGGGTATTGGGAGTTCCAAAAATCGAACGGGAAATTCAAGTCGCGCCAGAATAATCTATATATATATATATATATATATATATATATAAGCTTAGGTAAAATCATTGTTTGGAATATGCTAATAACATAATGAATAAAAGCTCCAATAAAAGCTTCAAAGATTGATAAAAATTAAAAAGAAAAGGTAATTATATGAAAGGTTTTTATAATAAGTAGCTGCTTACTTCTTAACAAAGATGAGATTGTAATATCTATAAATAGTTCAAAGTTTAAAAAAACTATTCCACTTAAGAGGAATATTATTGATTGTAAGATTCATAAATATTGACATGTTTGTCACGGCTGTCTGCATTAAACGAGGATTACTTTGATCTTCAAATATAAGGAATTTTTCTATAATTCAAAGTGCAAAATTCAAAACACCGTTGACATTAAATGACGCAGTTATGTAATAAAATAAAAACGAAAAAATCATAAATTGAAATAAAATTATTTATCATTCCCCTCGGAGGGATGGAAAATAAAGTCTGAATTGAAATTAACTCGGTGACGAAAGGGGAAAGGAAAAAAGTCCTTATGATTGGTTCTCATAATTACTTTTACCAAAATATCCCCAAACTTTTCTATATCCTACTTTTGCCTATATTTGCCTCGATTTTTTTTTTTTTTTTTTTTTTTTTTTTTTTTTTTTCGTCTATTTGCGCTCGGCGAGAGTAAAGAAGAACCAACTAATCAGGCGCTCGCGAGCTCGCGATTCCTAAGGGAATTAAAATCGTCTCGGGACCACTCGACCGATTAACCGGAAATTTCTAGCCGATTGAACCGTGGAGATGTTTCTTTTAGATTTTTCTCCCCTTTTTTTCTCTTAAACCCTTAAGCTACTTCTTGAAAAAGCCAGAGAGCTATTGTATGCTGCCGTTTCGTATATTCAAGATCAAGGAAATAATGGAGAGAGTGACTTTACGTACGGCGAAATGTTAAAGAGTGTTTGAAGAATATTTTGGGAATATTAGAATACCCGCGCCCTGAAGTTTACTCAACTTGAGCAGCACTTAACAGCATCTTATTTCGGCAACGTCTTTGAACGAAAACATACAAAATCTTATTACACCCCTTTACTTTTACACTAATAAACAAAGAGTATTAAATTATAATTAAATAGCACTATATGTAAATATCCGTATTAAGTGAAATTATTAGAAAGTTTATATGTATAAACAATGCAAAATAGATAAGTTAATATGGCTAGTAAAAAAGTCAATTTTTTAATTCGTTATTCAGAATTTTAAGGCGATTATATCTTGAGACTAAGAATCCGGAATTTTCAAAGCTTAACAATTTATAATTTTATAATTGTAATAGGATTATTTTGTCCAATGAAATTCTGATTTTAAATTGCGTTTAAACAAGCGGTCCTGCAAATACATAGTTTTAAGGATTTATCTGAAATACAGAGGGGATATCTATTAAAGAGAAGAGTCGAAAGAAAATTCTAGTCCATTAAAATCATTAAAGCGTTTCCGTATTCTAGCATCCAATAAAAATGAAAATCCTCTCTCTTGCAGCTCTCGGTCAGGTGATGCTGTACGTGGACGGTATGAACGGGGTTATGGAACATGGTCAAACCGTCCAATGGTTGTACAGTCTGATAGCGAGCCGCTTCCGGCTGGTAGTGAAGACAGCCCTGAAGCTCCTTCTGGTCTTTGTCGAATACATCGAGACGAATAGTCTGCTGCTGGTGCGGGCGATCCGCTCCGTAGACACCTCGCGCGGCATGATACCCTGGACGAACGTAATGAAGCTGCTCAAAGACTACGACGCCGCTGATACGGAACTCCTCATCTACGCAACGACCCTCGTTAACAAGTGTCTTAACGGCATACCGGACCAGGACACTTATTACGATCAGGTCGACTGCCTCGAGGAGCAGGGCATCGAGACCATAATACAACGCTACATGACGAAACAAGGCACGGATCTCGACCTGCTCAGGCAATTTCAAATTTACGAAGCGGTTCTGCATCACGAGGATGGCAACGACCGGGATTCGCCGATCAGGCAGCTCGACGATAACATCAGGTGCGTCGCTGATTATTATCGTGCGTTTAATTATTGAATCGCAGCCTCCGCGCGGTCCCAAATTTCATTCGCGTTAGTAATCATCTCCATCCTGCGGGCTTTCTCGATGATAATCCTGCCTTTAATGGAGCATTCGAGAGGTTTAAACAAACTATTTTAGTTTATTCAGACGCTAATAGACTCGTTTATCTGATTTCACGAAAATACCGCTATAAAGTATTTAGATAGTGTTTGGAAGTTATGAAAGTATCTGCGATGTAATATTGCAAGAAGATTAACATAAGCACAGATAACTGTCGCGTGTTATCATTATTCTTTATATTTTTATATCTAATTTTATGAATTGATCTTATTTAACGTATAGTTGAACATTTACTACGAATAGCTACGAAAGTGTTGAAATAGTTGGAGATTCTTAGGCAATTGAGAATAGCCTACGTATTCGTTTCATTTGTTGTAAGGATTGCCAAATTTGCATTAAAATTACGATGTTTCTGTATGGATTATAAAGTCAATTGTTAAAGTGCGATAGCTCGCGCAATTCTTGAAATTAATTGCGAAGGCCGAATGAGATCGCTCAGAGTGTGCGAGCGACGCCAAGAAAAATTGTATTTTGTTACAACAGCCGACCGGGAAGTCGACATTGAAACAAATTGTTCTTCAATGTTCAGCAACGTCAAGGTGAGAGTAACTTATCTATGAACTATTCGCAGGAAGACGCTGCGCAACCGGAAATCCCTGGTGGACTCGCACGAAAGACGTAAATCACGGCGACATTCGACCGGCACTTCCCCCCTGTCGATGGCTCTGAACGCGCGCTTGAGTCCCCGGACGAACCACCCGATTGGCCTGAACGCCCTGAGCAACGGCAGTGGAGTGGGCAATGGCGGTGGCGGTGACGGTGGCGGTGGCGGCAGCGGCAGCGGCGGTGGCGGTGGCGGTGGCGGTGGCGGTGGCGGTGGCGGTGGCGGTGGCGGTGGAGGCTCCGTTATGATGCCCATCGGCAACGATGACGATGACGAGTCAAGCAGCTCCCAGAGCTCCCAGGGTCTCGGCGACGTGCAGATGAACGGCAGCTACATGGAGGGTAAAGGCTCGCGTAAGTGTCGACTTGGAGGATCGCGGTTGTCCTTCTTTGCATCGGTATAGCCGGTATCGACTCCTCGCTCTCGGGGCTTCTTACATCGCGCTTTTTAACCTCTCGGTCCGAGGATCAAGCAGAAGAAGAAGAGACTTTACGGCAGTTGCTTCGGTCGCCCCCGATATTAGCTTTGCCTGGAATTTCTTATCGGCGATAATCTAACGCCGCGTTTAATAACGGCCCGTCTAACGCCTACTTTTCTCCCAGCAGCTCTGACTTTTCTTTTTTATTATCGCTGTGCGAGTTTCACTTATCATGCGAATAAGAACGTGTCCTTTTGAGCTTTTCCGCCTTCTTTCTCATTATTCACTAAGCCTCTACTACTACCATCCGTTGGCTGTTGAAAAATATAAGACATTCGACATCTTGGAGTTTTTAAAGTTGAATTCTTTTTAAATGTCTAGATTGCTGGTAAAAAAGTATAACGAGTAGCTACGTGGAGCGGTATATACGTGTGTGCAGCAGTCAGTTACTGTAATATTACTTTCGTTTTAAATAATTAGTAGGTAAAATGTTGAAAAGCTTTAAATTAAAACTTGTTTAATAGTAAGTGTAGCTAAGAAGTTGTACGATGTTTAGAAGTCTAGGATTTTAAAACTTGAAAAATGTTATGCTAAATTAGTTCGATGCTCATTGTAATGTTGTGATTAAATGTCTAATAAAACCGAATAAAACAGAAATAGAATAATGGAATAATATTTTGCCTTATATTAAAGTACATTATTATATTTAATGGAATGTTTTGATAAAAAGTATTAATAAACGTACAATTGGTACGTCAGTTAAGAAAGTGTATAACGTGCATAATGTAGAATGATTGTGACAAATGTATCACACATTACTGTCGAATTTTTGTGCTTGGTTCATTTGAAGGAAAAAAAAAATAATTAATCAATTAACGATAATTTGAGTATAATTACATTCAAAGAGAAAGAAATACTTAAGCCCGTTTTTGTAAAATTTTATATCTTACAATTTTAATACAATTGAAATATATATTATTATTATATGTTCATCCAGTTGATTTAAAAACATTAATATTTACACAGTTTCCATATCATAACTTAAAGGTGAATTAAGATTAATAGAGATAGATAGATAGATAGATAGATAGATAGAGAGAGAGAGAGAGAGAGAGAGAGAGAGAGAGAGAGCAATAATATTAAATTTAATTAGATTAAAAAGCTGTGAAGTAGTAGATATTATTAAATACTCCAAACTAATAAAGTGACATGCAAACGTGTAATTCATGCTCTACGAACAGAGAAAATCATAGTCAATGTATTAGGAAATTAAAAAATTTTCATAATTATATATATAATATGAATTGTCGTATTACAAAACTTGACTACAAAAATTCTTTTCTTTTTTAATACAACATGATATTTAGATTTTTGACTTTAATTAGGAATGCAAATTTAAATCTTGGAAGCGTTTGACGTTATTGCCGCATCTTTCATTACAAAGTTACTTTTAAAACTTCACTTTATTAATACAATTTAATGTTTAGATTTTTTCCCCTTAATTGGGAATATAAATTTAAGGCTTGCAAGCGCTTGACGTAATTACGGCATTTCTCATTGGAAAAGGCTACTTTCTTATTTGCCTTCCGTATAATAAAAATTGTATTTTCATTTTGTAGCATTATGATAGGAATAACTTTATCATCATAGAGTGCTATTTTCCGTTTAATAAACGTTGTTGTTTAATGCTTTAATCTTGAATTTTGAACACCAGTATCCCCAATGCGTAAAATCTTGGACACCTTCGTATACACTTCTTTCCAAAGCAATAAATGCTAATGGAAATTCTCGTTTTCTTTTCATACGCGAACAATTTCGTAAATATCGCTCTTTCCCTTCACGGTCTCCCGACTCCTATCCGGCCCATTGGTCGCAGCCATATCCAACGCCGAACGAACGACGCCAGGAAACAAATACTCGGGTACCGGTTTCCGAGCACTCGGCTTGTCGCGCCAAGTCGCGTCGCCTTATCGTCTCGCGTCTCAAGGTCAGTCCAGCCGCCTGGTCCCCTCTCGAAAAAAATCCCTCCCGGGATTTCCAGCCACCACGTGGATATCCGTAAAATCGGCGCCCGTTGAGTAGCGCAGCCGTAACTGGACGCGATGAACTCGAGCCTCCGAGCCCACGACGAGCAGCGATTCGCGCCTAACGAGCGACCGGCAATGGCCCGTCAAGGTCAAATTCGCGATATCGAGACGGCAGGCACGTAACGCGATACCAGCTGATCGCTCGCTCCTCTATGCGGTGGGTATTGCTTTACGCACTTGGAGTCGTCTCTGCTCCTTATCATCGTCTCTTTTCTTCTCATCTCGCATTTCTCGCGCTCTTCGATCTTCGTTCTAGTCTACTTTTCGATCTGATAATCGCAGCTGATAATCGCAATAATCCTTGTAGCCACCGCTTAGAGACTCTGGTCTCTTGATGATGTATCACGCGGTGCAGTCAGTCAGTGACGTCAATTACGATAAATTAATTGACGGATAGCTCGTAATAACGGATTATAACGATACGAAGCGGCAGCCGAAGTAGCTCGAATAATTTATTTCTAAAATACTTTTCAAACAAAGCCTTACGCCCAACTAATTCGAAATATCCTCTTGCCGTGCACCGCGCTGCATTGCCTTAAAGCTCCTAAAGAATAGGGTGGGACGGTCTAAAGGGCGGAATGGCATGATTTAGTCGGCTAAGGGTTTGGTGCGCTGGTGGGTGGGAGGGGGGGGGGGGCAATCGCATGTCCCGAGCAACAAGTGGCTCCCCCCCCCCCCAACCCCCCCCCCCCCCCCCCCCCCC